CCTCACCACATAATAAACAAAAAGGCCAAACATCAAACATACAGAATTAAAAAAAAGACTATTATAAGAGCAGCAAAGGAAAAAGGCCAGGTAACATAAAAAGGCAGACCTATCAGAATTATACATTACACCTTATTTCTCCACAGAAACTCTGAAAGCCAGAAGGTTCTGGATAGATGTTCTACAAACACTGACAGTCCGTGCATGCCAACCAGACTACTATACCCAGCAAAACTCAGTCACTATAGATGGCTAAAACAAGATATTTCATGACAAAATCAGATTTACACAATACATATCCACAAATCCAGCTGTACAGAAAGTACTGGTAGGAAAACTCTAACCAAGGAAGTTAACTACACTAACAAAACCATAGACAATAGATAATCTCACTTTACCAGAAGGCAAAAGAAAAAGCGTGGCAAATCTACTCACCATACCAAGAACAACAACAAATCCAAAACAAACAAGAATTAACAATCAATGGTCCTTAATCTCCCTCAATAATAATGGTCTTAACTAGCCTATAAAAAGACACAGGTTAACAGAATGGATACAAAGACAGAATCCATCCTTCTGCTACATACAAGAAACACACCTCAGTTTCAAAGACAAGACACTACCTCAGAGTAAAGGTTTAGAAAAAGATTGTCCAATCAAATGAACCCAAGAAACAAGCAGGTATAGCTATCCTATTATCTAGCAAATTAGACTTCAAACTAAAATCAATCAAAAGAGATGAAAAAGGTCATTTCATATTCATCACAGGAGAAATCCATCAGGACAAAGTCTCAGTCCTAACCCTAACCCATATAGGTCTCACATAAAACCTCACACACTTACAGTGGGAGACTTCAACACCCCACTCTCACCACCAGACAGGACCACCAGGCAGAAATTTAACAAAGAAACAAAAGAACTAACAGAAGTTATGTCCCAATTGGGCTTAACAGACATTTATAGAACATTCCATCCAAACACAAAAGAATATACCTTCTTCTCAGCTCCACATGGAACCTTCTCTAAAATTGATCACATCCTCAGCAACATAACAAATCCAACAGATTAAAAAAAAAAAAAAGGAATATCCCCCTGTATCTTATCAGACCACAAAGCTTTAAAGTTAGAATTCAACAACATCACTAATTGCAGAAACCCTACACACTCATGGAAACTGAGCAATGTGCAATTGCACCATTCCTGGGTCAAGGAAGAAATAAAAAAAGAAATTAAAGACTTCCTAGAATTCAATGAGAATGAAGACACAACATACCCGAACTTATGGGACACTTTGATAGCAGGGCCAGATGGCTTCAGTGCAGAATTCTACCAGAAATTCAAAAAAGAACTAATACCAACACTCCTCAAATTATTCCACACAATAGAAGCAGAAGGGTCAGTGCCAAACTCTTTTAATGAGGTTACAATTACCTTGGTACTCAAGCCACACAAAGACACAACTAAGAAAGAAAACTACGGACCAATTACTCTCATGAACTTTGATGCAAAAATACTCAATAAAATATTGGCAAATCTAATCCAAGAATACATCAGAGAAATCCTCCACCATTAGCAAGTAGGCTTCATCCCATGGATGAAGGGATGGTTCAACATATGAATATCTATCAATGTAATCCACCATAAAAACAAACTGAAGAAGAAAAACCATATGATCATCTCACTAGATGCTGAAAAGGCCTTTGACAAAAATTCAACACCCCTTCATGATACAGGTCTTGGAGAGATCAGAGATAACAGGAACATACCTAAACATAATAAAAAGCAATATACAGCAAACCAACTGCCAACATCAAACTAAATGGAGAGAAACTCAAAGAAATTCCTTTAAAATCAGGAACAAAACAAGGTTGTTCACTCTCTCCATATCTCTTCAATATTGTACTTGAAGTTCTAGCTAGAGGAATAAAACAACAAAAGGAGATCAAGGAGATACAAATTGGAAAGGGAGAAGTCAAACTTTCACTATTTGCAGAAGGTATGATAGTTTGCGTAAGTGACCTGAAAAACTCTACCAGGGTCCTACAGCTGATAAACACCTTCAGCAAAGTGGCAGGATACAAGATTAACTAAAAAAAATCAGTAGCCCTACTATATACAGATAAAGGGGCTGAGAAAGAAATCAGAGAAACATCAGCCTTTAAAATAGCCACAAATAACATAAAATATCTTGGGGTAATCCTAACCAAACTAGTGAAAGACCTGTATAGCAATAACTTTAAGTCTTTCTAGAAAGAAATTAAAGAAGATACCAGAAAATGGAAAGATCTCCCATGCTCATAGATAGGCAGGATCATCATAGTAAAAATGGCAATGTTGCCAAAAGCAATCTACAGATTCAATGCAATCCCATCAATATCCCAGTACAATTCTTCACAGAACTTGAAAACAAAAAACCCAGGATAGCCAAAACAACCCTGGACAATAAAGGAACTTCAGGAGGCATCACCATCCCTGGCTTCTTGCTCTACTATAGCGCTATAGTCCTGAAAACAGCATGGTATTGGCCCAAAAATAGACAGGTAGACCAATGGTATCCAATTGAAAACCCTAATATTAACCCACACACCTTGAACACCTGAGTTTTGACAAAGCAGCTAAAATTATACAATGGAAAAAAGAAAGCATCTTCAACAAATGGTGCTGGCACAACTGGATGCTGGCATTTAGAAGACTGCAGGTAGACCCATGTCTATTGCCATGCACAAAAGTCAAGTCCAAGTGGATCAAAGACCTCAACATAAATCCAACCACACTGAATCTCTTAGAAGAAAAAGTAGGAGGTACCCTTGAACAAATTGGTACAGGAGACAGCTTCCTGAACATAACTCAGTAGTACAGACACTGAGATTATATATATATATATATATATATATAAATGGGACCTCCTCAAACTGAGAAACTTCTGTAAGGCAAAGGACACAGTCAACAAGACAAAACGGAAGCCCACAGAATGGGAAAAATCTTCACCAACCCCATATCTGACACAGGGCTGATCTCCAAAATATACAAAGAACTCAAGAAGCTAGTCACCAAAACATCAAATAATCCAAATTAAAAAGTGGGGTACAGAACTAAATAGAGAATTCTCAATAGAGGAATCCAAAATGGCTGAAAGACACTTAAGAAAGTGCTCAACATCCTTAGCTATCAAGGAAATTCGAATTAAAACTCTGAGATACCATCTTACTCCTGTCAGAATGGCTAAAAATCAAAAACACCAATGTCAGTTCATGCTGGAAAGGATGTGGAGAAAGGGGAACACTCCTCCACTGCTGGTGGGAGTACAAACTCGTACAGCCACTTTGGAGATCAGTATGGTGGTTCCTCAGGAAAATGGGAATCAGTCTATCACAAGATCCAGCAATTCCACTCTTAGGAATATACCCAAAAGATGCACATTCATACAACAGTGACATCTTGTTCAACTATACTCATAGCAGCATTATTTGTAATAGCCGGAACCTAGAAGCAACCTAGATGCCCCTCAACAGAAGGATGGATGGAGAAAATGTGGCACATCTACACAATGGAGTACTACTCAGTGGGGGGCGGGGGGGAATGAAGTCTTGAAATTCTCAGGCAAACGGATGGAACTAGAAGAAACTATCCTGAGTGAGATAACCCAGTCACAAAAAGATGAACACTGTATGTACTCACTCATGTATAGATTTTATACATAGAACAAAGGATTACCAGCCTACAATTCATACCACCAGAGAAGCTAGGAAACACAAGATCTCCTGAGCAAATTGGGAGCAGGCGGGAGGGTGGGAGAAGTAGTTAGGAGAAAGAGAAGGGGAGAAGAGGAGGGGAGAGGCGGACATGATGGAGCAGTAAAATTGAGTTGGAGGAAGAATAGAAAAGAACAAGAAAAGAGATATCATAATAGAGGGAGCCATTATAAGTTTGAAGAGAAAACTGGCACTAGGGAAATGTCCAGAGATCTACAAGGATGACCCCAACCAACAATCTAAGCAATAGTGGAGAGGGTTCCTTAAATGCCTTTCCCCAATAATGAGATTGATGACTACCTTATATACCATCCTAGAGCCTTCACCCAGTAGATGATGGAAGCAGACACCCTCAGCTAAGCACTGAGCGGAACTCCTGGAATCCAGTTACGGAGAGGGAGAAATGATGAGCAAAGGGGTCAAGACCAGGCTACAGAAACTCACAGGAACAACTGACCTGAACAAGGTGGAGCTCATAGACTCTGGACTGATAGCTGGGAAACCAGCATAGGACCAACCCAGACCCCCTGAACGTGGGTCTCAGTTAGGAGGCCTGGGAAGGCTATGGTAACTCTGACAACGGAACCAGGATGTATCTCTAGTGCAGGAACAGACTTCAGGAGCCCGTTCTCCATGGAGGGATACACTCTCGGCCCAGATATACATGTAGCAGGGCCTAGGCTCTACCCCAAATGATGTGACAGACTTGATACCCCCCCTCCATGAAAGGCCTCACCCTCCCTGGGGAGTGGATGGGGGATGGGTGGGGGATCTGTAGGGGGAATAGGAGGATGGGAGGGATAACTGGGATCGATATGTAAAATAAGAAAAAGTATTAAATTAAAAAAAAGATACATAAGGAAACAGTATTGACTGTCTTCCCTTGGGTACACATGCTTCATAGAAATGCAAGGGTGTGTGGAAGTTTTATACGTGTGGAACTTATAGCCGGTATGAATTCCACTGTGCACCCCAAAACAAAGCGCCGGTGTTTTGTTTTGTTTTGTTTTGTTTTGGAGACAGGGTTTCTCTTGTGTATCCCTGGCTGTCCTGGAAGTCGTTCTGTAGACCTTGAACTCAAAGATGTGCCTGCCTCTGACTTCTGGGCTTCACTTTTCAAAAGTGTCTGTGACTGCCGCCCTCCGACCAACAGAGGGCACCACCCTGCCATCCCAACTTTTTAGTCTCAGAGAAGCGCTCTCCCGGAAGTCCCACCCCTAGCGGAAGCATATAGCCGGGCACCCCGGAAGTTAGCCGTATCTGCAGGCATGGTCGCTGCCGGCCGTGGTGGCGCGCACCGGGGCATGGCCCGCCCGAAGCGTCGCGGCGGTGGCCGCGGTCCCGGTGGCGGGGAGGGGGCCCTGAAGCGGCTGCGGCTGGCCGTGGAGGACTTCGTGCGGGCTACCTCCGAGAGCGAGGCCCCAGAGGGCCGGGAGGGCGGCGGCGCTGCGGCACGCTCCCGGCCCGGCGGGCGAAAGAGCCGCAAGGAGCTTCGGAAGCAGAAGCGACACCTGAGGAAAGCGCGGCGCCTGCAGAGGACGGGGGGCTCCGGGGGCGGGGACCAAGAGGGTAGCGTCGGCCCTACCGGCGGCCGGGAGGCTCCCCCGCCCTCCGAGGCGCGGCCGACCCCCGCCAAGGCCAAGGCTCCCTCCGCTAACCTGAAGGCCGCGGCGACCCAAGCGAAGGCTAAGACGTCCGCTTCCACGGCTACGGCGATCTCTACTAAGGCCAAGGCTAAAGATGCTCCCGGGACTCGCGGTCCCGCCGCCGCCGCCGCCGCCCGGAAGCGGGCACTTCTAGCGGCCAACGAGGAGGAGGACCGAGAGATCCGAAAGCTGGAGCGCTGCCTCGGTCTCAACAAGCGCAAGAAGAAGGGCGACGGCAGCTCGGTGCCGCTCAGCTTCGCGCGCGACGGGCTGGATTACATTCTAGGGGCCCTGGAATGTGGCAGAAGCGGCGGCCTGTACGAAAGCAGTGAGGAGGAGGAGGAAGAAAAGGGGGACACTGGACAGACACTCATGGAGAGTGACCTAGAGGACAGTTCCGAGGAAAGTGGGGAGGACTCAGACTCGACAGAGCAGCGGGAGGATCAGGAGGATGCAAGCTTGCAAAATGAGAAAGAAGCAGAAAGTGGAACTCTAGCAAGTAAAGGGAGGAAGACAGTCCGTTTTGCAGAGGCGGTAGAAAAGAGCGAAAGTTCTTCGGAAGATGACTCAGAGCACCAGGTATGACGCCAACAACCTGTAGGCCCTGTGGGCTGTCATTCCAAACAGGGTGAGGGAGCAGGGGACAGAATAGTATTGGCAGTGACACACAGTGGCAGCCACAGCCTGCTGAGGGAAAGGCTGACCCAGGCCATTCCAGGCATTCACTCGGTAGAGCTTTTCTTCGTTTAAAAAATGGTGGCTTGTAACGACAGCTGCTCCAAATTCTCGTGTGGTTGGTATTAAGAATAAATAACGAGAGAAACTACTAAATTTACCCATCGTAAATTTTTTTTTGCAATTTTATTCCTGTCTTCAAGGAGAGTCACTGTGGTGAAAAGTACATCCCACCTCGGTTGAGGGTCGAGGAGACAGTGGATGCCCATAAGAAAGAAGAGCTAGAAAGGCTGAAGAAACACGTTAAAGGCCTAATTAACAGGTAACCTTACACAATTGTGGCATGTCATCACGTAACTCTAGAGGTCGTCTAAAAGGCAAATGATGGGGCTGGGGCTAGACAGCGTCTTGGATCCTTGTCCTTCGTGTGAGATAACTGGACCTAACCTTGAAGAGGTGGGATGCTCAGGTGTTTGACATTGCCCTTTCCATGTTTGAAGCCCTGCTGCAGTTTATTCTGAGAAGCAGGGAGGAACAGGGCAGGGCTCTGTGTCATCCCAGGAGTGGTCCAGCTGATGTCACCCCTCCCTGCCCCCCCCCCTGCAAAAGTGAATTCATCTGGGGGTGAACAGGGTCCCCCTCAGTCAGCATCCATGTCTATGTTTTTTATTGTCCATTTTAAGAGTAAAACATCAGAAAGGAGTCTGGAGAGATGATGGCTCAGCGGTTAAGGCTGCTCTTCCAGAGGGCCTGAGTTCAATTCCCAGCAACCATCTATAGTGTGACCTGATGCCCTCTTCTGGGGTGCATCAGTGCAAACAGTGCAAACAGAGCACTGATTCTTAAAAAAATAATTTTTTTTTTTCCATTGGGAGCCGAGTGGATGTCACTTACCTTTCCCTGTTGGCTGAATTGGAATCACTTGTCTAAAGCTTCCCCCGCCTTCTTTCATGTCCCTCATTCAGCCTCATTCAGGTCCTGTAAAGGTGTCCACTGTCCTGGTCTATGGCACCTCTCATTTTGTCAGATTTCAAATATATATTGTTCTTTTGTTGCTTGTTGTTATAGGCCAGGCTGTGGTGGTGTGCACCTTTAATCCAGCACTTAAGTAGCTAAGGCAGGCAGATCTCTGAGTTTAAGTCCAGCCACATCTACAGAGTGACTTCCAGGACAGCCAAAGCTACACAGAGAAATACTGTTTCAGGGAAGGGAAAAAAGGCTTATTATTGTAGATGATGGGGAGTTTAAAAACAGTGTTTGGGAGGTCCTTAGAAGGGCCACTTCAGCCTATACTACAGTTAAAAACACAGAGAGAGCTGGGGGTGTGGCTAAGTTGGTAGAGTGCTGGTCTAACCTGCACAAAGCCTGCAGCCCTAGCTTGCCAGACAACATAAACCAAGCATAGTAAAACATGCCTGTAATGTCTGTAATCCCAGGGCTCTAGAGGTACATGTAGGAGGGTCAGACGTTCAAGATCATCCTTAACTAGGAAGTTTGAGACCAGTTTTGGATACATGACCCTGTCTCAAATGAAACTGACACACAACTCCAATAACTTTTTCAGTTCTCATCATTTTTTTCAAGACAGAGGCTGAGACTGATTCTGTGGAGTTTTGTTGCATGAAGATTGGTGACTGCCGCCAATATCCAGATGTATGGCTGTTTATCACAAAAGGGTCTCAAGCCAGCCCTTGTCACACCTCCTCTTCCCTCTGTGCTTTTGATTTCTTTTTCATTAAACCTTAAGCTGAGGGGGAACTGGGCTTGGAATGTAAAATATAAATTTAAAAAAAAATGCAAAAAAATAAAAATAAACTATAATACTATATTTAAAAAAAAAAACCTCATGCTGTTTTCCTAATACTCTGTAATTCCACCATTACCTGTTGTTTTAACAGCAGGTTCAGTATTAAGCACAGGTACACAGTATAGGAACAAAGTATGTTTGTGTCACATAAGAGACTCACCGCCTAGGAGTGGTCAGTGCCTCTGGGGATATTAGGTCAGGCTACCTATGGGCATGTATACAGACTTAGAGGAGATCCTAGGGTCTCTGCTAAAAGATGGTCACATCATTATTTCAGGGTTCTAGAGTGTTCTGAGAAGTATGCACCAGGTTTTTGTGGCAAAGTCAGGGTGATTTCTGGGTCAGAAATATGCATAAAACAGAATGTATCAGTAACACTTTGCTCATACTCCACTACAGGTTGAGCGAGCCAAACATGGCATCTATAAGTGGGCAGCTGGAAGAGCTATACATGGCCCACAGCAGGAAGCACATGAACGACACCCTGACCGCTGCCCTCATGGATGCCTGTGTCACTGCCTCAGCCATGCCCAGCAGACTGATGATGGAGCACGTCCTCTTAGTCAGCATCCTTCACCACACAGTTGGGATAGAGGTACATCTATCTGTGCCTTTTCTCCATACCCTGACTATGTCAGCTATAGTAATGTCCCGCATGGAGTCAGTGAGTTTGAGAGTGAAGGTGTTGGGAAGGTCAGGACAGAGGACAGAGTGACTTAACTACCTCAAAAGCCCTGCTGTGCGAGATCTACTCTGACTGTCTCAGGAATTGAGCTAATGTAGCCCTAGCGCCCCCCCCCCCCATGCTTATTTTCACATGTGAATGCCTGAGTCCATTTTCTTGCCATTACAAAGTGTAATGGACGCCCTGGACAGCTTTCCTGGAGCCCCATAATCACAGTAATTGACACTGTTCTCTGGCTGCTGTGGTGTCTCCCCCATCCTACACCACACTGGGACAGTTCAGCAGACTTAATCAAAGTGATTTGAGTGCAGACAGCATTGCAGTGAGTTATTTTAAAAGTCATAGATGTGACCACCACAGCACATGAGGAATTTACTTGATTTGAAAACCTGAAATTATTGGTCCTACTTCCCATTTAAACCTTTGCTAATAGCATGAAGGACAATGAGATGACTTGTTCAAGGGGAAGTCATTATAGTACTTTAGCTAATGGCGTCCCCTAAGGCTTGTGCCAGATATGCTGTGTTCTCAGGATGCTGGTTCCCATTAAACTGTGCCGAGAAAAACCTCCCAGGGACTCATGGAAGGAAAAATATTAAAGATGTTCTTGGCTACTGTTTGCCTTCTCTCAATCACTTAACATTCAGGCCTTTGCAGATCTGTGCTAAAATTCACATATCCAACATGAGGTTTCTTTTGTTTGTTTGTTTTTGTTGTTTGTTTCTTTGTTTTGTTTTTTCCTATTTCTAGGTTATACTCATATGTTTAATTTTAAAAACATTAATAGAATCAAAATTTTAACCTTTTATATAATTGGACCTATTGTATACTGAAAACATACCTGAATTGATGTCTCAATGTTTCTTGCCCTCTGAAGCATCCTGACTGTTAACATTCTTCATGAGCTTAAGATAGTGGTACTGATCAGAGAGGATATTCTTAGGTTTTTCTTCAGTGAGAAAACCTGAACTGGGTATCAAGCCTCGGGCCTTTAGTTTTGGCCTCCAGAAATCAGTATTGCCAGTCTTTTCTAACGTCATTGTTTTGCAGTATAGCAATCCTGTGTGTAGTTGCCCATTACACTCTGAGTTATATGTGGATCTCATTTACCCTTGTACATCTACATGTCTTACCTGATGTGAATTTAGCATAAATATGCACAGGTCCAACTGCCATTGAACCAGATTTTGACCAGCATCCCACAACCTACTTAATCCTGTCTGGTTCCTGGAGAGCCAGACCAAATGCTAGGATTACACCCAGTGATGCCTACCCTGCCAGTCTGTCCCAGGTCACTTTATAAGCAGCCCTTTCTTTCCTATCTATCCCAGCTGGATACCCTGCGGGAGAAAGTAGTCACAAGACAGTGCTACTAACAGGAGGGTCGCTGCCGTTCCTACCTTCAGGTTTCACTGCCTTCGTTCAGAACCACCACTGGTTGAAATCCTGGCCTTCTTCCTCCCCAGCATTAACTTAGAAATTGTAAAAAGAATGTTCCAGAGCACCAAAAGAACAGTGCCGTAGTGACTTTGCCCAGCTTCATCAGGCATCTGCTAGGTCTTGGCCTGGTGCTGTCCCCTAGCTATCACCTTTATGTGGATTCCGACATCAGGCTCAGGTCACCAGGTGGGAAGCAAGCTCCTTTATGCGGAGCCATCTTGCCATCACCTTTTTAAAAGAAATTTTTCTAGAGAGCCACTTGGTTGTTGATTCTAAAGAAGTGAGAATATTTTTACAGAAAAGGCTTGTGTGCTGAGGCAATCACTCAGTACCATGTTTGTTATGTAGAATCTTCTCATCAGTATGTGAAGTCTGAGTTTCTGAAGTCTGTATTCTTAGCCACCAACTCCCCTGCTAGAGTTCTTATGCCCCCTGTATTCATGTTGTACTTTATAGGTATTTGTGCATTTGACAAGCAGGGTCCCAGAATGGCATGATGACATTCCTTCCGTCTCCTTCAGGTTGGTGCTTGCTTCCTTGAGGCTGTGGTGAAGAAGTTTGATGCCATCTATAAAGATGGAGGTGAGGGGAAAGAACTGGACAACCTGTTTACCATGATTGCCCATTTGTACAACTTCCACGTGGTACAGTCTCTCCTCATCTTTGACATTTTGAAGAAGCTTGTTGGAACTTTTACGGAAAAAGACATTGAGCTGATCCTGTTGATGCTGAAAAATGTGGGCTTTGCATTGAGAAAAGATGACGCCTTGTCACTTAAGCAGCTGATCACAGATGCCCAGGCCAAGGCCAGTGGGGCAGGCAGCAAGTTTCAGGACCAGAACAGGGTAGGAGTGCCACTTGACCTGCTGAGTGCCCCAAAGCACATAGAGTGACGAGCACAAATGAGTATCTGGCCAAAAACTAGTTCATGCCCTAATGCTCTCTGTCTTCTTCTCCCTTACCTGGTACTTTCCTGTGGTTTTGTCTTTGGCCTACAGACTGACCTGGGTTGTGAGGGATTTGCTTTTGTTTTCTTGGATTTTTGAGTAGTCTCACCATATAGCCCAAGCTGGCCTAAAGCTCTTGATCCTCTTCTGAGTGCTGGGCCTTGCTTGGACCTTGTTTCTTCATTAAGAACCATACATATTTTATGATCATAACTGATTTGTTGGCCAGTTGTCAGCCTGGGTAGGATGTGTGGCACTGCTTCTGAGCAGCAGAGACTTAGTCTTGCCAGCCAGCTTCCTCTATAAAATGGACTCACAGCTCTGACCCCATCTGAGGGTTAGGACAGCACCTGAGAAGCCCTCAAGGAGGAAGGAGAATGTCATGCTGAAGAGCACCATTTCAGGAACCTGTGGGGTTTGACCACAGAGAAGGTAGGGCTCAGGGAAGCCAGGTTTTTTTTCTTGGGTGGAGGAAGATCTGAGCAGATAGTTATTGGCAGGTGCTCTACTTTGATGGCCACTTTGACCCGGTGTAGAAGAGATTGGGCCAGAGCAGGGAGAACGGCTTCAGGAATCTCTAAACAAAAGTAGCATGTGTAAGTGTGGTGACAGTGGGTTGTAGTCTTGGGAGTCTGAAGTGAGTGACTTTTGGAGGAGCAGGAACATGAGATGGGAGTTTGGGGTCACTCTGAAGAACATACAGGAGGAGATGGGAAGTTGACTGCTTCTGAATAGTCAGCTTGTCATCTAGATGAGTTTTGAAGAAGTGTTTGCAAGGAAGGGTTCTGGGTCACCCTCATCCCAGGGCTGGGGTTGTGGGAATGGAGGAGAGAAGGCCTCTGGATAGTGAGATGCGTCTATTTTAAAATACTCTACCCCTTACTGAGATATTAAAGTCTCACAGACCTTCCAGTGCTCTCATCTGTGGTGTTTCTTGCAGCATTGAATCGTCAGTGGCTTTTAAATGGTGAGTTTAGATGGTTTTCCTTTTCCTTTAAGGTACGGTTCATGTTGGAGACCATGTTGGCTCTGAAGAACAATGACATGCGTAAAATCCCTGGCTATGATCCTGAGCCTGTGGAGAAACTAAGGAAGTTACAGAGAGCACTGGTGAGTGACACCCTATTCTGGTTTGTCCTGAGCCTCCATGTCATCCTGACCCATTGTGACTATGTTCAGCACAAGTCTTAGAAACTGTATGTCTATAGTGAGACTGGGGAACCTCCATGCACAGGAATCATCAGGTTAGTTGAGTGCCCAGTATGAGTCTCCTGAGGTGCTAAGCTAAGGCTGTATGGTAAGATCCTCTATTGATACTCAGAAGGCCAGGCCCCACCTGGAACCAAGAAGCCTCTCAGGTGTCCAACCTGTAGTCTTGCCATATAGCCTGAGATGGTTACCACAGTCATTCTAAGTTTTTAGTCACACAGACATTGTTGCAGAGCTCAGGTCACACACATTTGGATAATGAACCCATAGACTTCACAAACAGAACACTGAGAGTTGATAGCTCTTTCTGGCATTTTTCCAAACATGCTAACTGTTCCAGTTGTCCATCATTCATTGCCATAGTCATACATGGAAACTGCCATTTTCAAACAAAGCATGATAGAAATACAGAATGAGGCAGCCAAAACACTTCATGAAGCCTTTTCTTTTCATCAGGTACGCAGTGCTGGCTCTGGTTCTGAGACTCAGCTCCGAATCTCCTGGGATGGCATCTTAAATGCGGAACAGACTGGCCGTTGGTGGATTGTGGGGTCTGCATGGAGTGGGACCCCAATGATCGACAACAGTCATCAAACACAACTACAGAAGCCACTTGCAGGAACGGTATGAAGACCCCTGTTGGCTTCCTGACCTGCTGTGTCTGAAGTCTGCTCTGCCCAAAATAGCTCCCTAGTACTCCTGCGTATTCTTGAAATGTACCACACAGGCTTATCAGGAGGCTTCATAGAAGAAGTAGCTCCTGTTGGCATACGATTAATTCAGTTTCTGCATCTTAAGAATTTTTAAAAGCTCCAAAGCCTGCCGGGCGGTGGTGGTGCACGTGGAGCTTTCAATCTCAGCACTCGAGGTAGAGGCTAGTGGATCTATGTGAGTTCAAGGGCAGCTTGGCCTACAGAATGATTATAGGACAGCCAGGGCTACAAAGTGAAACCCTGTCTTGAAAAATGAAAACCAAAACAAAAAAGTAAGTTCCAAAACCCAATTCAAACAAAATCTAGAAATTGAATGGAATGAGAAAGGGGTGAAAATGGAATTCATTTGAGAGGAGCTATTGTTGGAACTTGGGCATATGCTGTTCCCAGGAGGTGTAGGTTCCAGTTCCTACTGTGGATTCGAGTTGTAACTCCAATTTCCTTTTTGTCTTTCCTTCCTGGGGACCCTGATCTCACTTCCTAGTTGTGGCCCCCAGATGCTGGTAGCTGCATATATCTGAACTTGATCTTCATTTGATGCACAGATCTGATCCACAGATTAGAGCCACCTCCTGAGAAGGCTCCCACTGAGCTTTTCTCCCTTTGTAAGAGTTGCCTAAGAATACAGACAAGGCATTTACATGCATACATGTACATATAGTTTACAATCACATGCTCAAATGTGTATGTTACACTTCAGAAATTCAAGTTCAGAACTGCTAAGGAACAGTGTCTTGTTTCTGAGGAGACCGCGCCCATTGGGATGATTGGAGGGTCAGGCAGGACACTGATCTCTTTCTTTTTCAGGTTAGCTCCAAGATGCTGGAGCTTGCAAGGAAGCAGAGAATGAACACTGATGTCAGGAGAAACATATTCTGCACTATAATGACAAGTGAGGACTTCTTGGATGCTTTTGAAAAGCTGCTGAAGTAAGCATTGGTGTGAACATTTTGATATGTTATTTAATAAACATAACAAAGTATGTTGATCTAGGTTTTAGCTTTTGGGTAATTTCAGTAACTGAGTCTTCCCCATTACTTTCCTCTCACCTGGGTTTCTGGGTCCCCTGTGACCCTCATAAGACATTGATCTCTACTAGTATACACTTGATAAGTAGCATTTGAGAACTTGGCTGGCCGTGTTACATAACCAGACACTTGATAGTCTGCCAAGGCTGTAATTGTTATATCTATCTTTCTCTTAATATAAAAACTTTACAATATAGTTTCTATAATTAGTTGTAAATTTTACAAAGTTATTATAAACAGTTGAATGTCAAATCCTTTATTGGTTCAAATTTAGATATAAGTGCAAGTCTTGATTGAGTTTTCTTTTTTTTTTTTAAGGTTTTGTTTGTTTGTTTGAGACAGAGTTTCTCTGTGTAGCTTTGGACTTGTCCTGGAACTCACTCTGTAGACCAGGTTGGCCTCAAATTCACAGAAATTGCCTGCCTCTGCCTCCCAAGTCCTAGGATTAAGGTGCGCCACCACCATCTTGCCTGATTGGGTTTTTGAAACTGAACCTTGTTAATATGGAAACCTTGAGCTTGCTTATGCTTCTGAGACCTTACTGTTTGCTCAGTGTAGGTAGCACTGAGTCCCCCAGTCAGTGTCTGTCTCTGAGAGACTTTGTTAAAGGAAGATTATACTGTCCAGTCAAAGGGTCTGACTTTCCATTGCTAGTCAACTTTTGTCACTGAGGCAGGATGTCTGAGAAAATCAACTTGAAGGAGGAAAAGTTATTTGGGCTTATAGTTTCAGTCCATGGTCACTTGGCCCTGATGTGATGGGTAGTGGTGGGACAGTACATCATTGCAGAAAATGTGTGGTAGAAGAGACCTGCTTATTTTGTGGAAGCTATGATGTAGAGACCAACCCCTCAACACATGACCTTTGGGAAATGTCCCTGTTCTGACACTGGTGTTCTTTATGCCAAAAAATATTTCCTTCACTGTTCTCCTATGGCTTAGTTAGCATTAACTGTCACCTTGATACAGCCTAGAATCAGCTAGAAGAATCTTAGTAATCGTGTGTGTCAGGTTGGTCTGTGAGGGGCTGTCTTAACTGATGTAAGACTCAGTCCACTGTGGGCAGCAGCATGCCAGGCAGGTGGTGCTGGGTTGATTAAGGAACTAGCTAGCCTAATATGAGTAAGCCAGAGGGTAAGCCAGTAAACAGCATTCCTCTGTGGTTTCTGCCTGGACTTTTTCAGTGATGCCAGATAAATCCTTTCCTCCTCAAGCCGCTCCTCATCAGAGTGTTTTTATCAGGAAACTAGAATATCTTGTTAATTTCAACATTTTCAAACCTTTAACATTGCCGGGTATGGTGGTATAACCTGTTAGCCTGGCACTTTTGAGGCTAAAGCTGGAGAATCTTACTTCTGTTAGGATACAAAAAAGTTCTATCAGACTTAACAGTGGTTCCCTGCCCACCCTACTTTTATTCATGAAGGTCATTAGCCGGGTTTTGATTATAACTCAACAGTGTGAGGCCCTTGACTCCAGCATTCCAGCACTGCAGATTTCTTTTCTTTTTTAAATCACTGCCTATTCTTGTAGATATGTAACTCCATGGATTATGTACAGCTGAAATGAAACTGGCTATCTGGGTGGCCCACATACACCTTGAACAGCATGCTGTTTTGGGTTTTGTTTGTTGCTTGGAGAAGGTTTGGGGGTAACATGGCAGCAGAGTTGCTGTTTGTCTCCTAAGGCATAGGGCATCTGCCTTGTCTATAGCTAATGGATTCAGAGGGTAGTCAGCTGGGGCTAGGGACGTGGCTCAGTGGTAGAGGGCTTGCTTGGCCTGTACAAGGCTGTGGGTTCAACTCCTAATGCCCTCCAGAAGAAAGGCGATTGGTTATTTTTAATCACCAAAAACTCAAAGGCCTTGTGTTCTTCCACTAATGGGTAGACTAACTGTGGGTCCTAGGTACATGTGTTTCTTGTCAGTCAGCTCTGCAGAAGACTGAGCAGCAAGGCTCACACCATCATGCATGGTTCTAAAATATTCCCTGCCCTGGACAAGGAACTAGACTTGGACAGCCACTTCATGACTGTTGACACAGCAGAATTAGAGAGGCACAGAAAATGCATCCATGGTGGCCTGTGTTTCAGGGAGATACCCTGCTGCAAAGGAAGGAAGGGGATGGTAGGAGCTGTAGAACTTCCTGTATCTCCACTGTGGTGGTTGCTGCCTGATCCACACTCACAGGGCTGTACACAGGAAAGAGTGCATTTTGTTGAGTTTTACCTGGGGGAAGGGTGTTTTTGGGGGTTTGAGAAAGGTCTCCCTGTATAGGTCAAGCTGGTCTTGAGCTCACAAATCTCCCACCTCATTTTCCTGAGTGTTGGGTAATTGTTATGTAGCATGAAAGCTGTCACCTTAAGTTTTAAAAGTGAGAAAATCACCTTAAATTATAAAAGTCAGAAAGTGTCAGGTGTGGTTGCCCACGCCTGAATTCCAGCACTAGGATCTCTGAGTTCAAGGCCAACAGTCTATAGGGCAAGTTCCAGGACATCCTAAGAACAGCCAACACAGAGAAACTCTGTCTCAAAACAAAAAAGCCTCAGAAAGTGTCTGCTGAGATGGTTCAGCCTTTAAGAGCAATTGGTGCTGCTGCTCTTCCACAGAACCTAGGTTTGATTACTAGCACCCATGTAGCAGCTCACAAACATCCGTACTCCAGTTCCAGGGCCTCAGGTGCCTGCTTTTCGTCTCCATGGGCAATAGACATGCAGGTGATGCACAGATATACATGCAAGCAAAACACCCATACACACAGAAATTAAAAATCTAAAAATACCGTTTAAAAAAATCAAAAAGTAAAGCCATTACCTTAACCATACCCAGCTTCATGGCATCACAGGAGAGTGCTGTGTATTAACTGCAAAAACCAGTATTCAGCTTTGTAGCTGCTTTACAATTGGGAGCTCACACATTTCACCATATTATTCGGAAAACTGAGGCCCATAGAAGCTAGGAACAAAACTGGGTTGTGTCCCAATATGTGAATGTCATCACCGTCTTTACCAGTTCACTTTCCACTGGACTCCTCAGACAGGGAGGGGCTGATTTTGCCATGAAAATTGAAAGTAGAATACATTCTTAGTCTAGCTGTTTGTCTACAGGCTTGGGCTGAAAGACCAGCAGGAGAGAGAGATTGTTCACATCCTCATGGATTGCTGCCTGCAGGAAAAAACCTACAATCCTTTCTACGCTTTCCTGGCTAGCAAGTTCTGTAGCTATGAAAGGAGATTCCAGGTAACTTAAAAGACCACCAGTACATCTGCCTGGCTTATTACCAGGAGGTCCATGTTCCCATCATGGATCTTGTCCAGGCTTACCTGAATTGAAGAGAAGATAGAACAGTGGGGCAAGGTAACAAGGGTCCAGAACATCCCAAGGCACCTTGTCTGTTACAGCTGGAAGGATTGGGGTCAGGCTGCCTGGATGGTCTCTAATAACTGGTTGTTGCTAGCAACCTCTCTTGAGAGAGACAAAACTACAACAAAAAGGGACTTTTTTTTTTTTTTATGCTGCTGTGGGAAGGGACAGTGAAGTTGCTTTTAGTCCTTATTTGGGTTAGTGACAAGGAATAAGAAATAGCATACCTTTAGAGTATGTTCATCTTGAGTTGTTCCAGTGATTTGTTACATTTTAACTTTTTTCTTCTTTACCCTTGTTAATTAGATGACTTTCCAGTTCAGCATATGGGACAAATTTCGGGACTTAGAAAATTTGACGTCCACTAAGTTCTCAAATCTGGTTCATCTGGTGGCACACTTGTTGAAGACAAAGTCACTTCCACTTTCTATCCTAAAGGTTAGTATAATGCAAGAAATTAGTAAAATTCTTTTTATTTGGTGTATTTTTAAAGTGTGTTTTCTGAGCTTCTGAAATGTTTTCTTTCTTTTTGGTTTTTGTATGTTTGTTTTGTTTTTTAAGACAGGGTTTCCCTGAAGCCTTGGCTGTCCTGGAATTCACTCTGTAGACCAGGCTGGCCTTGAATTCAGAGATCTGCCTGCCTCTGCCTCCCCAGCCCTGCTGCTGCCATCCACCCCTACTATCCCTAGATCATAGCCATCACAGACAATATCTAACCAATATATAATGTAAATCTACTTAGAGAATTAGTGTTCAGTTATAGGGTTTGCATTGTTTTTTGGCTTTGTTTTGCTTTACATTATTTATTTCATGTATGTATATGTTTATATGGGGGTAGGGGGCTTGCATGTGCTGAGGTCAAAAGGCAACTATCAGAAATTGGTTCTCTTTCTACCACGTGTTCTGAAAATCAACTCAGGTCATCAGGGTTGTCAGCAAATGACTTTACCTGCTGAGCCATCTCATCAGCCCAGTTACATGTTCTTTGATAATCAAGTCATAGTTTTACAATGCTGAACTGGGGGCTGGAGAGATGGCTCAGTGGTCAAGAGCACTGGTTGCTCTTCCAGAGGTCCTGAGTTCAATTCCCAGCAACCATGCTGAACTGGTCACAGCTCGGCTGGGAGCATAAAGTGAAGTAGGACTTTGTCTTCAGGGTTAGTTACTATTGCTATGATAACACAAAGACTAAAAGCAACTGGGGGAAGGGTTTATTTCACTTACACTTCTAGGTATCACCGAGGGAAGTTAGGCCAGGAACCTGGAAGCAGGAGCTGATGCAAAGGTCCTGGAGGAACACAGCTCAGCCTGCTTTCTTACAGAACCCATGACTCTGAGCCCAGAGATGGCCCCACCCACAGTGGGCTGGGCCCTCCTGAATCATTCTCTACAGCCCATTTTATGGAGACAATTTCTCAGCTGAAGTTCCTCCCTCTCAGATGACTGTCGTTTGTCTCAAGTTGACATAATACAAGCTAGGACAGACTTTCCTCCTTTTAAAGACATAGTTATGGATCGTCACTGCAAAATGCCATAAGGTTGTAAGTTCCCCGCCTAAGACATCAGTACAGAAAACAGTGAAGCCAGGCACAGGAGGCTTCCTAAAAAGTCCTGAAGGAGATAAATAGCAGAGACAAGTCAGAGTGCTCACTTCAGTGTCCTTCTGTGTCATTGCTGATCTGCAGGGCAGCCTCCTGTGTCCTGTATCTGTCCTTGACAATTTCCTGTGACTGTGAGAAGTGGGCAGGAGTCAGTTGTGGGTGATAGCTGTATTAATCAGGGTTCTCTACAGAAGCAACACATAGAGTAAATCTCTCGGTGTATAAGTAGAAAGGGGATTTATTAGAATGACTTACAGTCTGTGCTCCAGCCAATCCAGCAATGGCTGCCTGTGAGCAGAAAATCCAAGAATCTAGTATTGCTCAGTCCATGGGGTTAGATGTCTCAGCTGGTCCTGAGTGTGTGCTGGAATTCTCAAGAAGCAGCTCCAGTGCCAGTGAAGGGATGGGTGGGCTAGCAAGGCAGAGCAGGCAGGCAAAGAGCAAAAGCTTCCTTCTTCCTTGTGCTGCTGTGGCTTCCAGCAGAAGCTGTGGCCCAGATTAAAGGTGAATCTTCCCACCTCAAGCTCTGGATTAGAAGTGGATCTTACTAATTTCAAATTAATCAGAACCTCACAGGTGGGGTTTTAGTTTCAGATGTAGTCAAGTTGATAACCAGGAATAACCATCACAGGGCCCTAGACACATCCCTGGCCCTGTTCCTGGGCTCTTGTCTGTGCCCAATGTGGCGTTCATCCTTGTTCTTAGGCATGCTTTTCTGCTGTAAGCAGTGTATGTGGGCATAGCTCGGGCCTCTCTAGGCAGTGCCTTTTTGTTACCATACACTGTACTTCTGCAATCTTTTTTTTTTTAAAGCATAGGCAATTTTATTAGCATTTGAAAAAGGAAAAACTACAGGCAAGCTGTAAAATCTCAGCAGCTGCCTGGAAGAGAGAAGAAAAATGACCATGCCATTTCAGCTGGCACGGAGGTCAGTCACAAAACAAAATAAGCAGACGTAGGATGGGATGGGAGGCATTGGAAAAAGAATAAAGAAACCCAATGTTTTGGAGGAAAAGCCCTCAGTGTTAAGGAAAGCGTGTTTGGAAGAGCTTGGGAAGTTCTATTTAAATTCATCTTAGATTGTGTTTTCCCCATGTTGGTGTCTGGTTCTCTGAGCAGTGACTTCTGTGCGGAAGTCCACCATGGGGGAAGTAGAGTATGCTTATCCCACTGATGACATCGACATGCTTTGTACAGTCCCTGATGCTGTCCTGGAAAACGCGGACATATTCTGTGCCAATTCTCTGCTATAGCCTACACCCTCTGTGAGTTGTAACTGAAGAGTGGCTCCTTAAGAGGACAGAAACAATACTAAGTAAACTTCAGGTCTGGAGTGTATAAATCCCCTGTAGCTATGCCCCCGTTGCTTGTAGCCTAGGAGCCAGCCCACTCACCCTGCCAGCAGTACTCTGTGTACTTGCCAGCACTTGGTGTTGCAGAGAGCAAGTGTCACACAAATCATGGTAACCCTGAATCAGCAGAATGTTTTCCTACCTCCTAACCCTTAGGTGGTTGAATTCAGTGAATTGGATAAACCCAGAGTCCACTTCCTACGGAGAGTGTTGACTGAGCTGTTGATGGAAACAGAAGAAGAAGACCTGGGTTTAATTTTCTCAAGGTATGTGCCCAGTGTTTCCTGACAAGATGTGAAAAATGCAGAGAGATTGCCTTTTGAGCAAGCGTGGAGATTACTCCCATTTCACTGCTGGTGCCTTACAAAGCCAGGGTTATGCCTAGTGCATGATTTTTTACCTATGCACTGGATTGAAAGAATTGCAAGATTTGCCTAATAGAGAACAGTGGTTTGTAACAAGTACATATGTAATGTTCCATGGGTTTCATTTCCTTTCTTCTTATGAGGTGCTGGGACTTGGGCCCAGGCCTCTGTGCTGAGCATATGCTTCACTGAGCCTCATTCCCCAGCCCTCAGGAAGTTTTTAAGTGAAAGCTGGGCATCTGGGTTCACATTGTAATCCCAGAATTTAAGAAGCTGAGGAGAATTGTATAAGCTTAAGGCCAGCCTGGTGATTTTGAGGTCAGACTAAGACACAGAGTAAGACCCTGTCTCAAAAATAAAAAAAGAAAGAAAGAAGAAGAAAAAGTTATTTTACTGTTTGTTTGTTCATTTTATTTTGTTTTTGAGACAGAATCCCACTGTATATTCCTGGCTGGCCTGGAGCTTGCTATGAAGACTAAACTGACCTCAATAAAGGTGGTTCTTAACAAAGAATCCTAGTTTAAAAGAAGCTGGGTGCAACCAGTTATGGTAGCATGTTCCAGTAGTCCTAGCACCTTGAAGACTGAGACAGGAGGATTCCAAATTTGAAGCCACTCTAGGCTGCTTTGTCTTTAAAAAAGAAGCCAGCTGTAGTGACATTCCTGAGGTCACAGCTTTTCTAGAGGCAGAGCAAAGGAGGATCTCTTGAGTACAGGAGTTCGAGGCCAGCTTAGACAGCACAACAAGACTGTGCCTAAAAATAGATTTTTGTAAGTAAGGGGCAGGCTGGGGGTGTCTCGGTAGCAGAGCACTTGCCTATCTTATGCAAGACCTTGGGTTTCATCCCATCATCCAAAAAAACAAATGCCTAAAAGTAGGCTTTGCCTTGCTGCTAGAGGTGCCAGGCACTGAGATCTGGAAGACCAGCCTGTGTCCCTAACCTGTCTCCAATTCCTTTTCAGAGTATCTGAAAACCCAAAGCTGAGGATGCTGCAAGAAGGCCTGAAACTCTTCATTAGCCACTTCCTGCTGAAGCACACACAGACTCTCCAGAGTGCTGAGGAAGCCAGTCTGCTGAGAGAGCGGGCAGGCCTTGCATCCAAGTCTTTACAAGGCAAAGCCATACTGAGGATGTAGCCAAAGGATAGGGAACATTTGACCAAGAGATGTCATTTATGAATTCAAAGACCTGTTCCATCTCTGTAAGAACAAGAAGAATTATGCCATGTTCTGTCATGGTTTAAATACTATATTTTCAGATTTTTTTTAAAATCTAGGGTTGTACTGTGTATTTCAAATGTATATGTATGTATATAGCAGATCAAAAGGAAGGGAGAGAGAAGATGGAGCATTGAGCCATGAGAAGAGGCAAGATCATAAATTGATGAGGTTGTTTTGTTTTGTTTTATGGTATTTGTTTTGTTTTGTTAACCTTCTGAAATATTGGTTAAAAGTTCAGACAATTGGCCAAGCATGGTGGTGCATGCCTCTAATCCCAGCACTCAGGAGGCATAGGCAGGCAGATCTATGAGTTTGAAGCCATCCTGGAGCTGGAGTCCCAGGTAGTTGTGAGCTGCTAGTGTGGGTGCTGGGACCCAACCTCAGGTCCTCTTAGAATAGCACACACTCTGACCACTATGCCAGATCTCCAGCCCCAAATGTGTCTGTTACTGTTTGTTTTGGGTTTGTTTTTGGACATAGAGTATCTTCTTGTAAGCCTAGCTGTCCTGGGATTCAATATGTAAATAAGGCTAGCCTCTAACTCACAGAGATCCACCTGCCATCCCTTTTCCTACCCCAAATGATAGGGATTGAAGGTGTGTGCTATCATGCCAGGCTCCAAATATGTTCTTTTTTAAAAAATGTATTATAGCTACATTTGAAAAGTACTACAAGGTGCTGAGACAGCAACTTTCTCTCCCTCTCTCTCTCTCTCTCTCTCTCTCTCTCTCTCTCTCTCTCTGTGTGTGTGTGTGTGTGTGTACAGGTACGTGTGTACTTGTATACTTATTACAATAAAGGTTAAGAACAATGTATAAACTAGGTGTGGTAGCGCACATCTTTAATCCTATCACTTGGGATGCAGAGTCTGATGGGTTCAAAGCAAACCTGGTCCATATAGCAAGTTCCAGGGCAGCCAGGACTACATAAAGAAACCCTGTCACAAACAGCAAATATATGTATAGATTCACTTTTTAAAGGGGGGGATTTCATCTATAAAGATGTAAACTTTATTTAAAAATAAACTTCATTTGAGCTCTTTTCTGTAGTGCACCACCACTGAGTTCTGAGGCTGGCTTGAGTCCATTAGGAGAGACTGGCTTCTGCCATCCCAGAAACTGCTGACATGGGGCTGTGTGATATTGTTCATACTTGGTTGTCACCAGACTCTTCCCTTAATCGTGTGACATTTCCTGAAAAACAAAAGATGTTGGCTACAAAATGGCCAAAAGACAGGACAATTCTCTGAAAAGGCTACGTGTTCATGCAGACCATGTTCTCTTCGTCCATTCACCCATCTGTGGACATTCAGGCTCTCCTTCACCCATCTGTGGACATTCAGGCTCTTGCGCATGTTGCTGCAATGAACATGGGGTGCTGTGTCTTTGGCACTCCAGCAGTGGACTTAGTGTACTCTATGGCATTTCTGTTGTTAGTGTTTTTCAGGAACTTCCCAACTGTTTTGCATATGGCTGTACCAGTTTTCATCCCACCCACACAGTACAAGGACTCCCTTTTGTTCACACCCTTCAGTCACTTGTTATGTTCTGTTTTAGCAGGAGCCATACAGACAGCTGTGAGGTGATGCCTCAGTATGGTTTTTATTTGCATTCCCTCATGAGGAGTGATATGCAGCCTTTCCTCACTCCTGTTGGCCATTTTATATCTACTTTGGGGAAAACTTATTAAGATCCTTTGCCCATTTTTTTTCATTCATATATATATATATATATATATATATATGTATATATATATATATAATCAACTTTGGGGGTTTGTTGTTTATTTTTTATGTTTAGTTGTATGAGTTCCTTATGTATTTTGCATATTAACCACATATAAGATACAGGATTTGAAAATGCCTTCACCCATCCTGAAAGCTGCCTTATTACATTTTTACCTTGTAGGTAGGTCCTGGGGATTGAACTCAGGTACCTTGGAACACGCATCTCTACCCTCTAAGCTATCTTGCTAGCCCCTGAAGGCTGCCTTACACTGTTGTTTACTTGTGGGATCTTATTAGCTACATGCTGTCCCACTGGGCACTTTCTCAATTGTCTCTGCTTTGGGATTCATATCTGAAGACATTGCCAAGACCAGGGCCAAACAGCCTTTGCTGTTTTCCTCCAGACCCAAATGTAAGGCTCAATTAGGAGTTGGCTTCTGTGTGGCTTAGGTGCCTAGTTATAGTCTTGTAGCATGTGGACATCTGGTTTTCCTAGCACTGCTTATAGGAGACAGTGATTTCCCCATTGTTTGTTCTTTGCACACTGTGTAAGTATTAGTTGATCGTGTTTTGATCCTCTTGTGCCAGGACTATTCTGCTCTAATGACTGCCACTGCGGTGTAGTCTGAAACCAGGAGGGTGAAACCCTTGCTTTGTTTTTCTCAAGATCACTTAGTTCTTCATAATCTTCTGTGCTATAAATGAATTTTTGGTTTTATTTTGTTTTCCTCTATTTCTGTGGAAGGAAATGCCATTGGGTTTTGGTAGAGATTGCTTTGAGGGGTAGTGGGAATGTGGCACTTGAGACAGTTTAGGACACCACATTCCCTTTCCGTTTTTGTGGACTGACTTTCCCATTCCCTCACTTTCCACTTTCTGTAACTGTACAATGGGTTCCTGGTGTGCAGCAATAGTTGAATCTTGGGAAGGTGGAGAGGAGAATAGTTCCCATCTACCCACCTGTGTCTTTTGGTGGCAAGGTTAAGCTTTTTATATTGTTAGGGCTAGGAATATGGCATCTTCAGGGTTTTCTAGATAACAAATCACTTGCATGCAGTTCAGGTTTCAGTTCCTAGAACTGTAAAAATGAAACGTAAAGTTGATTTTTGCTGGGGCTGGAGAGGTGGCTCAGAGGTTACGAGCACTGGCTGTTCTTCCAGAGGTCATGAGTTCAATTCCCAGTAACCACATGGTGGCTCACAACCATCTGTAATGAAATCTGATACCCTCTTCTGGCCTGAGGGCATACATGCAGACAGAACACTATATACATGATAAATAAATAAATCTTTAAAAAAAAAAAGTTGATTTTTGCCAAGTAAGGCTATTGCTGTTTTTGCAGTTGTCTTCTGCCTTGGGGTCCCTGGTCCTTTGTTCCTCTGCTGCTGTTTTTGTTTCATTTCATTTTTCATGAGTCTTTTGTACTGGTGTACTTTGATTCCTTTCTCTTTACCTTTTCTGTCTCCATTACAGGTTTTTTTCTTTGTAATTATCTCAAGGCTTGCATAAAGGTCTCGTAGTTCTTAACAACTAACAGCAACTTAACTTGAATGACATATAAAAGCTGCATTACTGCATTCATATGGTTGTATCACAATTCACACACACTCCTTGATGTATCCACTAACAATTTAATGTAGTTGTTGTAGTTTGAACACTTCTTTCTTTTATGCTAGAGATAAAAATAATTTTTTACCCCCTTAACGGTTCACTTGTATTTTGGGTTTAAGAGTGTTCATTAACAATTTTTCAGGGTAGGTTTAATAGTGATGAGCTACCTCAGCATTTGTTTGGGGAAATCTTTACTCCCTCTTCATCTCCAAAGGACACAGTCTTGCTGGAACAGTATGTTGAGTGGGCTGGGTGGAATTATTTGGGATATTTATGTGACAGTTTTAATTGTTAAATTGTGGACATGGAGATTGACATAGGAAGAGATTCTATGAGGAATTGTCTAGATGAGATTGGCACAGGAAGAGACTCTGAGTCTAGATAAGATTGGCCTCCAGGTGTGCCCATCGGCATTGCCTTAATTACTTGGTGTGGGAGGACACAGCCCAGGGGGCATCATCTAGGGAAGTAGACAGGAAATCTTAGATTTTATAAAAGTAAGGCTGGCTAGCTGCATTCCAAGCAGAATTCATTTCTCCCTGCCCTTGACTGGATAGGAAATGACCAGCTGCCTAAGATCCTGCCCTGACCTGCTATGGTGGACTATAACCTGGAATTGTTAGCCCATGTCTTAGTTTGGGTTTCTATTGCTGTGAAGAGACACCATGGCCATGGCAACTCTTATAAGTGAAAACGTTTAATTGGGGTGGCTGGCTCGCAGTTTCAGAGGTTCAGTCCATTTTCATAGTGGGGAGCATGGTGGCACGCAGGCAGGTGTGTTGTTGGAGGAGAAGCTGAGTGTCCTACATCTTGCAGGCAACAGGTAGTGAATGAGGCTTAAGCAAAAGGCCTCAAAGCCCACCTCCACAGTGACAAGGCCACACCTACTCCAATAAGACCACACTCCTAGTAGTGCTACTCCCTTTGGGGGAGGGCATTTTCTTTTAAACCACCAGAGTCCTCCCGTTTTTGTTAGGGTCTATGGCTATAGAAATGATATTAGAACCAAGAGGCTGGTGTCTTGGGTTTGTTCTCTGTTATGACCTGGGAGCTTTCCCCCAGCTTTGAGGTTTCCAGTTACTTCTCTGTATAGCCCTCTTCCCCACTCTCTGGGACCCCATGCTGCGTATTTTGATGGTTTGTTCTGCCCTAAACCCTATAGGGTTCTTTGCTCTTCATTCTCTTATCTTTTTGTTCATAATGTAGATAGTTTCTGTGTCTGCCTAGAGATCGCTGGGTCTTCTGTCTGACTGCATGCACTGTTGAAACTCTGGAATTCCACAGTTCCAGTATTGTGTTCTTCGGCTCTGAATTTCCAAGAAGGTTCTCCTTGAGGTTTCTTTTTCTCTAGAATGCCTTGTTCAGGTGTTGCTTTCCTGGATGCTCAGCTATCCTACAGAGTTCTCTTGCAGCTCAGTGGGCTATTTGAAGATCCTTTAATTCCTTGTCAGGCTATCTGCAGCCCCTGGTGTCTTGGGTTATGTCTCTGGAGTTAACCCCTGGAGCTCAACTTGGTTCCTTCAGTGCTTGCTGTCTGTTTTCTCAAGCCTTGCATCACTATCTTGTGTATTAAGAAGCTGTTGCCTTTGCTAACCCGACAGAGAAAAGGCTTCACCAGCCACCCCAGCCAGGGCTCAGGGAGATGCTCAGACCTCTGGACACCTGTTCCTGCTTACAGCGAGTCCTGGAACTGTAAGCCTAGCTTGCATCCTGCAAAGCCAGGTTTGATGCAGTGAGCTTCCCGTTCCTGTTCCCTAGGGTGGTACCTTGCAGTGCTCTACCATCTGCCAGCCCAGCAGAGCGGAGCTGCTGCGAAGAGAAACACCTGCTGCTGAGATGGTCTCAATGGGCAGGGGTCATGTGACACACTGGGGTGTGCTTCACCTGAGGGGGTTCTGATCTGCAAATAAGTTGTCCTGGGGGGGGGGGGCTTGCTGGAGTCCATGCTGGTCACTGGGTCACATACCTATTGAGATTTGGTATTCAAACTGTACACACCTCTTTTCTCAGCAATCTCTGTGTGGTTTGGCTGTCTTGAGTCTTAGTGTTCTGGGGCAAAGCAGAATGCCCCACCCTCCAATATTGGGGAACCCACTTCCTCTTGAGTGAAATCACGACTGAGGGAGCTCTTTGAGGAGGCATGACACTTGTAAAATGTTGTCCTGGATGTTTTCCTCCACTGGGTCTTGGCACCTCCCACTAAGTACTCTTGTCAGTGAGTAGTTCCAGCTCCAAGGCTGGAACCTCCTGTCTTAGCTCTTCCCGTGAATACACATAAAAGAAATCTTTAGAATTGTTGTAAGAGAAGATAATGATGTCAAGGAAAAAAAAAGAACAGGTCATGGTGAAACATGCCTTTAATCCCAGCACTCACAAGGCAGAGACAGGTGGGATCTCTGTATTCCAGACCAGTGTAGTCAACACATAACCAGCCAGGGCTACCTAGTAGCCCTGTCTCAAAGTAGGAGGGGAGCTTGTCTTGGTTAATGTTCTACTGCTGTGAAGACACACCATGACTAAGGCAACGCTTATAAAGGAAGCATTTAATTATGAGCTTCCTTACAGCTTTACAAGGTTAGCCCACCATCAGGGTAGGGAACATGGCAGCAGGAAGGCTTGGTGTTGTATGTAGTAACTGAATCTTGACTCACAGGCAGGAGGCAAAGACTGGGCCTGGCATGGGCTTGTGAAACCTCAAAACCCA